AAAGAGCCTCTGGCCACAACAGCCTCACACATCACTGACACCTCACCTGGAGGTTCAGGGCTTTTGACTCCATAAAGTTAAAAAGAAATAAATAAAAAAAGGATATGAACTCAGAGCAATCCAGGGCAGAAACTGGAGGAGCAGGAACCTCTCACCTGCAGAGGCTGGGCATGTTTGGGACTCCTAGTTCACTGTCAGGAGAGCTCTGCTTCAGCTCTCCAGGGTTGTCAAGATTGCTAATACTGAGACATTTCTTAAAGGTTATAGATTAGAAACACATATTTCTTTCATGCAATATAATGTTGCTTAAGTTAATTTCCTGCTCACCAGAATTAGTATTTTCAGTAAACTTTGCTGAAAATCAGTTCTTCACACTGTTCTTGTTCTGCATCTGCCTCCTTGAGCTCTCACAGCTCCCAGCACAGAGCAAAAAGCTTCCCTGATAATATATTAAGCACAACATAATTTTTCTGTAAGAAAAGTCAGTATATTTATGGTTTGCTTTATAAAAGTTACTATAATACAATGGTACATAGTATTCAATTCACAAAAATATGAACAAATATATACAGCATGACACATCCACAACAAAAACACTTTCTTCAAAACAAGATACATACTGGTGACAGATTCTATATGCACAAAACATCCCTAAATTTATAAATTTGCTTAACAAAAGAAAAAGCAGAAATCCTAAATCTTTAAAGCAGAGTTGTTGTTTTTTTAAAAGGAACTTAGGAAAAAAAAAATATATTTTTTTTTTAATTTATTGCAAACCATTTGACCTGCCTACTTTTAAAGGAGGCCCTTGATTTCCACGATGGGAATTAAAACCAGAAAACTGCAAGAATTGGGAGCTGGGTGTTCTTCCACTTTGCTTCGAAACTGCCCCATTGTTTTAGAGTGTCCTTCTTGATGTGTTTCTTTTCACTTGGACAAATCCTACAGTGGCAATTAAGGAGGAAACTCATAAAAACAAAACAAATATTAAACTGAAAAAATCCAGTTGCAAATTTGCTTAAATACATTTTAGGGTGTCTATTAGACTGTACACATTTCCTCGCTTGAAATAAATAGATTTTGCACATTAGGTTTCAGACTGAGGGAGGGGGGGAAAGAAGAAGCCTTGACTTGGCAATTTTTTGTCTTCAGTTTCTTAATGCTTCTAATTTCACCTATTTATTTGACAAAAAAAAACCCATATTTATACAGAATTTACATTATACAAAGCTTGACACAAGCTGTAAATGCCACCAGCTCCTTTGCTATACTCAGTCCTTCTTCCTCCCCATCTTGACATGATTTAGAGCTGGAATCTGTTTAAAAAGAACTCCAAATTACAATAGTCACTTTTAATAAACTATTTACATGCTCTTGAAGTACAAAGAAATCAGCAAAAAAATTTCAACATGTTTCTACAAGAAACAGTGTTTGAAGAGAAGATTCTTGAGTTCGCCTATGTACAGAAGATGCATTTTTTATACTTCAAAATCCTTTTTTTTCCTTAAATTTTTATTTTGTACAGAAATGCACTGAAATGATCCCTGAAAAAGGTCACAAAAACCAGAACTGAAACTACTGTGTAATGGAGTTTAAAAATGATGTTTTTTTTCTTTCCTTGTAGAAATAAGCTGCTCTATACAATATAAATAACTGCAGGATGAGCCCCCTTCCCCTCCTGGACTCCCCCAGAGTCTCAGACCACTGTGGGACCAGCCTGGGACTGCAGAGAGGTGTGAGCCACACGGATCCTGTGGATGTCAGCACAGAGGCACCTGCACCCTGACCTCCCACAGCTGCAAACCAAAACCTTCAATTCTATCTCCGTAATTTTGCTCTGTTCTCTTGGGTCATTCCTCTCAGCAAGATGGAATTTTGCAGGGAGCACTGTAAATGTCTCTTTCTTTTTTTGTCTGAGGCTCAAATTGAAGTGACAATAAATTTGGGGATGGGCTTCTCAGTGGACAAAAGCACTGCAGTGCCCGTTTGCCCATTAGCAGCATGTGCTGATGAGGTTCCTCTTTATCCCTGTCACTGTTACCATGGGGTCCCAGGGAACTTGTGCTGAATGTGAACCACACAGCTCCTGCCCTCCTCTCATCCCATCCCTTGCCAAGTACAAGGCAAAGGATTTGAGGCATCTCCAAAGCACATCTGTGGCTGCAGGGCTCCCCTGGCCCAACGAGACCCTGCGGGCTGGCAGGGACAGGGCACCCACAGAAATCACTGCACCAGACTTGAGAGTCCTCACCATAAAATGATTTGTTTGGAGGTCAGGCAGCTTCCCAGTCCAAGACAAAATATCTCCCAGGTAGGACTCTGCAAGCCAACATTTATGGGGAAAAAGAGAGAAGCCTCAGGTTTAGCTTTGAGACCAGACTAACATGATTTTTCAGAAGTGCTGTGGCTTCTCAACAGCTCTGTTTCTTCCTGGGAAACTACTGAGAGATCAGCTTTTCTAAAAACTCACATTTATTTGTCTGGGGTCCTAAAAGGAGATAAATTACAGGCAGCTTTGGAAGTACCCAAGTGATTTAGGTGCTCATGGTCTTTGGCACCCAAATCCTTTTGGTGCTCCTAAAAAACACACGGGGAAGGACATGAAGGTAACAGTGACCTTCCTCCCCACCTTCCTCACCAAGGATTAAGGCAAACTGCAGGGGCTGATCCTATCCAGAGCACACAGATCTGCTGGGAGACAGAACTGCCAGCAGGGCTGGGCTGTCTGGGGTGTCCTCAGCCCCACAAATCCACCGTTAATGCACTGGTTTGATGGAGCAGAGAGGGAGAAGGCCAAGGACAGGGGCCTCAGTTCTGACACCCAGGAAACTTCCGTGCATTTCCAAAGCCTCAAAAGTCAAAGGCCAAGCTGTGGAGATGCCAACAGATTGAATTTCATGCAGAAAAATAATAACTAAACTGAGCAGCAGTTTAACTCCTAAATGCCATCACTGCAGTTCCAACCAACATTCAGTGACAGAAACTTGTGCTTCTCACAATTTTAGGTTCTGGGTCACCAACACCCAATTGCTGGATAGATTTATGATGAAGGGGGGGAAACAATAAAACTAAACCAAACCAAAAGCAGAGATGAACCATGGATTGTCCAATCTCAGAGACAATTTGCTCGCCCTCAGACAGAAACACAGGTGGTATTAAGGCAGCTTGTAGCAGTCTGTGTGTTCCTGCTCCCTCAGGCCTTTTGCCTGGAGAAGAAATTTGGAGGCAGAGGTACATTACAGAACCTACATTACAAGCTCCATGCTGCAGTACAGGCCTGGCAATTCCATGGAACAGCTGAAAAAACTTCCAGGAACCTCTTTTGCAAGGTTGTCACCTCTGCTCATGGAGGTTTGGAAAAAATACAAGAATACAGCTGTGCAATTTGTTCTGTGGGGAGAAGGTGTTTAGTTATGCAGACAATCTTCCCATTTCGTAATGACATTGCAACTTCCCCTTACAAGCCAATTAAAAAGGGTTTAGTATGACTATTCTCTACTTTTAAAGCAGGAGAAATTCAATGCAAATTGAAAAACTGGTCCTGTCTATACCTGAATGGTGGTGTAACATTTCCAGATCTCATCCAAAGAACTATTTTTTTGGTGTTTGGTCCCATTTTTAAATGGAACCTCTTGAAGAACTGCAACCTTCACCTCAGCACATCTACAAGGACAAAACATATTGAGAAATAATTTTAAAACATGCCTACCAAATTTAGAGAAGCATTCATTTCCATGGTATAGATGGGGGGGACAGGATTGCTCTCGGGGACACTTTTACCATGATTTTCTGGAGGGATGGGACTGCCCCAGCCCAAGTTACTGAGTAACAGAGGGAGGAGAGTGGCAGGACACAGTTTGCTCCTATCACAGGAGGCATCTCCCACATCCAAGGACAGAGCAAATACTTCATGTCCATAAAACATTGGAAGGGCAGGGAAATGCAGATGAAAGTGAGAAAAAATGAATACAAGTCACACATCAGCCTGTTTCCCATCCACAGGAAGAAAATCCTGCTACAAACATGGGCCATAGTCTTTGCTTGCAAGCAGGGCAGGATTTCTACAGCAGAAGCAAGGGCTGAGCTGTCCACTTAATCTCAGCCTCTTCTGCAAGCAAGACAAGCCCATCTCCAAGGAACGGGCATCCCCCAAAGGCCACACGATGCTACAGCTGCATAGCTGGCTCCACTTCTTCTAGTGACTCAAGTATCCAAGGATTTCTCACGTGCAGCTGCAGAGGTTTTGATCCCCCATGGACCAGCATGGCATAGAAAATGAGAGGGGAGCCCAAGGAGGGGAGCTGAGGTCTGGCTGACCTGGCTCTGCCCTGGGGTCTGGCTGAGGGGCCCTGTTCAGGCTCATCCCTAACGAAAAGGCAGGACAGGTCAGCTCTAGTCTCACTGTGGACACACCTGCACACGCACACACCCCCCCAAGCACACACACACACACTCATTCACACACCCTCAAGCCTCTGGCTTGCTCTGTAACATCAACCTTACATTTATTTACAGCTTACTCTGAGAAAACTGTGCAATTTCAGCCAATCAAGCTCCCAACAAACCCTATATGGCATTTTCAGTCTCTGCTTCACATTTAAACGTTGAATGTCTTTTTCAACCAACGAAAACTGATGAGAAAAAGGTAGCAGCATTTATGAAAAGATGAAGGTTTATAAGAACAATTAAAAAAAAAAAGGTACCATTATCCCATTATGGAGCATTACTGCAGGGACTGAACAGAGAAGCTAGTGTTTGGATAGACCATGCCACAAAAGGTAGCCACCTTTTTGTGTGCGTGTTGGATCTGAAAAGGAAAAAGCACCTGAAAGATGAACAGTCCTCGTAAGCGTGTGCGCTTTTTGTTTTCACTCATGATCCTGGCAGAAGTGCGAAACTTGCTTGGTTTTCTTCTCTTTTTCCTCTTTTTTTTTTTTTTTTTGGGTAAGTATTTTTTTGCTTTTAAATTTTTTTTCCTTCCTTTTTTCTGTTGTTTTTTTTTTTTCCTCTTTTTTTGGCAAAGTGCAACCACACCTGGTTACCACAGTTTTGACATGGCCGAAGGTGCAAGTGTGATGAGAGAAACCTTGAGTTCAGTTCAGGGTTCCCCTGCAGTTCTCAGAGCCACAGAGACATGGGATTTTTACATCCTCAATTGGAAACTTGTAGTCGTAGGTAATTTCCTCGTTCACATTGATGTGCTGCTTGGAGTAGATAACGATCTTCTTCTGAGACTCCACCGTGATCACTTTAGCATAACAATTTGGCTGCAAGGGTGACAGAACAGGTGATGATGTAGGTTCCCAGCCTCCACACAATTATTTCAAGATAAAATAAATCAGGACAGTCCTTTCCGGAGACATGACTCCAGAGCCTGGACTCAGGGCAAGCCTAGGAGGGGAGGGGTGAGGCCAGAAAACAGAGCAGCCCTCCTTGTGCTGCTCCAAAATATCCACATTCTGCTCATTTGTGGAACAAAAGAGCTTGGCTGATGCTCCATCAAATTTGTCACAGGTTAAGAGAAGCTCAGTGCTGAACAGTTTGGCCAGGCAGGCACATCTGAGTGCAGACTGCAGCACAGAGCAGAGGGGGAAACAGCAGGGAATATTTTCCCATCAGGACTCTAGAAGGAGACTGTTCCCACAGCTGAAATTTGGTATGTGTTAAGGAAATATTTGTTAGATTTGCTTGCTCACTGTCCATCATGATCCCCCAAGACAGTCAGGAGGACTCTTGAGTGCACTCAGTCTCCCTGCATGTTTCATTTCTCAGGTCTCTCCAACCTCTTTACACTACTTTAAACCCTGCTCTGATCTGCTGTGTCTCATTAACATTTAATCACAACCCTGTGGCCCCCTGCCACTTCTGAGCACCCCAATCAGGGCTGGCAGGGACTCCCCGGGTTTGTCAGGGAGCCAGGGAGCAATGACAGGCGAGAGCAGCATACTCACATTGCAGCTGTGATTGATAAACCTGGCGAAGTTCCCACATTTGGTGGCATCGATGATGGTGTCGTGGTCGACTCTGAACATGTAACTGCTGCCAATGCCCTCATCCTCGTATCGCTTCTCTCGCATGTCAGCAATGACCTGCAGAAACCCCAGGCAGGCTCAGGCCACGCTGCACAACTGACCTGTGAGCAGCCACCTACACAAGGCTCCCCTGAGCTCTGCTCGTGCCAGGCAATGGGGGTTTATGTGATCCCCATCACCCCAAAAGAGCACACACCTGACTGGAAACACAGAAGGTCAGGATGGGCTTCTTAAGGAGGATTCTCCTGTGTGTTCAGTTTCCATGGGCTGCTGAAATTCCCACCCTTGTACTCCCAAACCATGCTCACTCCCACTGCCCAGCCCAGAGCTGACACCTCCAACCCAGGACTCCAACCCTGGCTGTCATACTCGAGGGCTTCTTCCAGGGCTGGTTTTTGCTCAGATTTCATCCACAGCTCACCTGCCTGATGTTCTGACCCACGTACTCGATCACCATCTCATCAGCTGCAATGGGCTCCATAGCAAAAAGGCCCCAGTCGTGAATGTGGCTCTTGCAGAATTTTAGCTTTTTCTTCCGGAACTGCATGAAGGAAACACCCCAGAACCCCAACCCTGAATTAGCCACAGCACAGAATGGGAAAGGATGTCTTTGGGTTCACAACCTGCAGCAGGGGGTGATCTACCTTGAGCTGGTTGAACTTGAGCAGGTCACTGTCGCAGCTACCAGTGAAGGAGGAGAGGAGCCTGCGTTGCTCTGATCGCCTCTCGGAACCAGCCCGGGTGGAAGCGTGAGGTTGGGCAGGGATGCTCATACCCTGAGAGGACAAACGGGTGATCAAAGCTGATCCAACACTCTGCAGGCTCCCTGTGAGCAACCCCCTGTGCTACAACACATCACCACAGAACACCTGACATCAAACATTAACACTTCCCACACAACCCCAGGATGATCGATGAGACACAACAGCTTCCTCTCCCTCCTTGCCAAAAGGCAGGAAGCACCTACTGTGTGTGACAGTGTCAAACCAAATCCCATTGACACCTGGCACTTGTGGATTCCTCACCTGTGTGTCAGCTGGAGGCTCCTCTGCAAAAGCTCGGCTATTGTTGAGGTATTTGAGTTTGTCCTTCTTATCAATTTTGTAATAGCCTTCGCTTCGTGCACAGCCCGTCACGTGCTCCCGCATCCCGTCATCCCTCTTCTTCTTCTTGGGGGTAGAAAAGCTGGTAGGTGGCAAGAAGTTAAGGAGAAACACAGCCAGAGGTGTATACCAGACTAAACTTGCTACAGTTGCATGGAGCTAACACCAGGAGCCTGGAAAATTAGGAAGGTTTTGTGGGGTTGCAAAAATTAACATTACTACCAAGATGCTGCTCAACCCAAAGGCCTTGGAGAGATGCTGCTCTCACCAGCCTTGGGAAATCAGCTCCTTCAGACACTCATGACAAACCTTCAGCTTTGAAGGCACCTCCAGGGCTTTGGCTCCTGGAAGGACACTGGAGGTGTACTGCTGCCAGCTCACCCCACAAACACAGCCATGAAGGCTACAGCAATTGAGACCGACCCAAAAATGCTCCCTGTGAGGCAAAACATATCCTTGACATCAGAAAACTGAAGCAGTGGGACCATAAAAAACAAGAGGTAAGGGCCTCCAAGCTGGAGTGCTGAGGGTTTGCTGCAGAGCAGGTGAGCCTGCAGGTACTTTCACACTTGCCATGCAGTGTGGCACACGATGAACTCAAGGTGATTTTCAAGTGGCTTTAAAAGTGAGCATAATTTTGCTGTTACAATATAATCCTTATCAAGAGGGGAAGAGATTTATTTTCACTATGGGTTTTGTTAGTTATTACTCACTGTTTTTAGGTGGTTTGGGCTGTTTTGGTTTTGCTTTCCTGTCTTGCAGGAAACTATCTAAACTTCACACAATCTCTAGCAACACACAAGGTGGTGTGTTTGTTTTCTTCAACACATAAACCTGTACATCCTTCCTGAAAACAGTACTGGAGAGTTCTGAGGTTTTTAGAAGAGTCTTTTAGGCTCTGCTCTGGAGATCACTACTGGTGGCTGAACACACACTGAGCCCTGATGTACCACTTAGAAACCACTGATTCTACCAGTATGTCAAACTCAAAGCAAGTTAAAGATGCTAGAACCACAAACTCATTGTTTTAGGAACAGATGGTGAGATTATTTTTACAGCAAGTTTTAGCTCCAAGTGAAAGCTGTGTATGTGCAGACTAGAAATTCCACAGGCAAGCTGGAAAAAAAGTCTGGTCACATGCAGACAGAAGCTTCTCAAACTAGGAAGGAAACCTCCCCAGAAGAGGTGCCTAGAGACTGTCCCTGCACTTCCAGACTGAACGTGCAGCAAGAACAGCCACTTCTCCAGTATTTTTGTGTTGCAGCTTCACAGAATAAAACAGCCTAAAATTCCCTGCTCATCCAAGCAATCGCTATTCCTGTAAGCAACTGCTTCTCCCACCAACTTCTCGTGCATCTCACACGTGCTGCCAACACAGAGAGAAAGGATATAAGGATGGAAAACCCACAGGGTGTCATTGAGCCAGTCCATACCGTTGTCCTGCTGTAGCAAGCGGTCGTATGTGATACACATGAATTTGATATCCTCCTCGTCGATGCCTCCGTTCCAGATGTCATACAAAATGGTCATCTCCTCAAACTCGGAGCGTGGCCTGAACTGCGGCTGGGGTGGGGAATACTCAGGGGAAGGGATCATGGGCAGCTCCTCTGATGTCTTCTTCTGCCTTCGCCACTGTCTCTTAGGTTTTGCGTGAGCTTCTTCTTCCTTTAAGTCTTCATTCCACTGGTTCTCCAGCTCCTTGAATGGCAGTTTCTCTGCAACTGTCTCAGCTGCTATTTTCTCGTGGAAACCGTCATTCCTGAAGTCCAGGGTGACGGCTTCAGGGTCTTTCAGTCCATAGTAGGCATCAGGATGTCCACTCAACAGCTCTTTGCCCACAGGACCTTCCACCAAGGCCACTGGCATGGGAGGAGGCTCTATGGTTTTGCCCGAGTACACATCCAGCGAGAGGACAGAAGGTGGGGACCGCCTCGGCCGACCCGGCCTCCTTTTGGGAAGAACAGAAGGTGGTGGAGGGGGAGGAAGAATAGAAGCCCCAGGGGGTACTTCTGGGGAGAGCAAACCAGGTTTTACTTCTGCCTTGCATTCCTCGATGGGCATTCTTCCATCGCCATGCATGCATGGCAGGGCTGCTACAGGTATTGGCTCATCAGGTGGCAAACCCATGTCCATGTGGAAATCTGCCTGTGGGGGGCTGGCAAAGGGGATAGGGGAAGGAACACTGTTCATGCTGATCGTAAGGGAAGCACCAAGAGGCTCTTTAAAGGGTTTCTCTTCTAGCTCATCCTCTGACTGTTTCTTGCCAGGCAGAAGGCAAGGAATGGTAGCACCAGCCTCTGGGAAAGTAGGCGTGAAATTGAAATCTCTCCCAGGAGTCCGAGGAATGCCACTGTTAATGCCAGGAGATTGGGATGGGTAGGAAAAGGGGCTCCCTGGGACTTGAGGGGAACTGAGGGTCAAGCTGCTTCCTGTAAGGGGAGCATCACTTCCTGGCGTGGCTGGAACAGTGTCCGTGCTCTGCGACTTCGCGAGGGGGTGTGAAGACTTGGCCAAAATGTCCCGCCCGGGAGTCCTAGGAATCTCCTCTTCCACGGACGTTTTGGTCACCAGTAATTGTTCAGGGAACTTTTCTGGAGGGACTAAAGATTCTTCCTTGCCGGGTGTCGATGGCAAGGGAAGCATGGAGGATGGCACCTTGTGGGCTGGAAGCAGGAGAGTCTCAGTCTCCGAGTGGGTCATCACCTCCCGTCCAGGCGTGCGGGGCAGCCGCTCGTCCTCCTCTGCTGCCGACGGTGGCTTTGCTTTAACTCGGGCTTCCAAGCTGCTCTCCTCAGACTTGCCAAAGAAGCTGCTTTTGCTGGGCAGAGGTTCTCCAAAGACTGCCACTGGAGTAGAGATACAGAGAGCTGCTTCCTCATCTTGAGATTCAGGCTTTGGACCTTCCTGTACCTCCGGCTCCAGCATGGAAGTGGGTTCGGACTCCTCCTCTGAAAGGAGAACAGAGAGGAGAATCAGGAGCTTTGCCTCCACTTGGTTATTTGCCACTTGCTAGTAAAGACATATTTAAGATGCCACAATTAAAGAACAGCTCAGTTCCACTGGGAGGATTTAAAACTCCAGTGCTTTACATTTTGGAGGCACAGAATGTAGAGTAATTAGACACTACCACACACTTTCCTAATGGACCATAAAAAACCCGCACTATTAATTTGAGGATTAGCTACGACACAGACCAGAACAAAGGTTTCTCCGCTTTCAAAAGCCCTGACAACCTTTCTTACAGACATTAGAGGAGTGAGTGGATTGTGGGGTGAGGACTTTGGAGAAGAGCTGTCAGAGCCCAGAGTTATCACCTTTTCTAACGTGGGAACTAAACTAATTGCAGGCCAAGGAGCACCCTCAGCTCTGCAAGGAGGGAGCAGTGAAGGGAATAGCAGAACACTCCTGAGTAACACGTGAAGGAAATGGGAAGCCCCTGTAATGGATGAGGAGACACTCAGATGGTATCAATGAGGCAATTTATATGCTGCTCTCCCTGCAGCAGCCTCATTTATCTGGAGTTTATTTACCCACTTAGGGCCAGGTCCAAAAGGAATCAACGTTGAATCTTGTTAGGCAGCTCAAAATAACATTTTGAAGTGGGAGAACGAAAGGAGGTGAAAACACCTGGAGAGTTAGAAGGGAAGCATTCCCTGCTTGTGCTGAACAAACCAGGGCTGCTGGAGAAGGGTCTGAGCCCTGCAACTCCTGTAGGACAGAGCTGGGCTGCTCAAGAACAATGCTGCAGTTTGAGTTTGTTCCCGTAGCTTACCTGGAAAGCTCCTTACACGTCAAGTTGCTCACGTGCAGGTGTTTCTAAATTTATGTTCTTTTGGCACACTGACCTGTTCTAGAAAGGATTTGTGCAAAACCAGTTCTTCTTTGCCCTGCCCAGTTTAGCATTTTACCTCTTTGTGACTTTCAGATTTTGCAGCAGCCAAGGAATGACTCCCTGTGCAGGTACTGGACCTCCAGCTCTCCAAGAGGCAAAACACTGCCCAGTCCTCAGACATCAGTGCTGCCCAAGGCTCCACAAGCAGGCCTCACTAGATGTACCCTCCCTGTTGGCTCCAATTTCAACTTTTAGATTTCCCCCAGTTGCTAAATTACTCAAGCTTTATGCATCTCATTCCTGGTCTAGTAAAAGGTTTCCAATTTCCTTGGGTTAAATACAACTCTGTACTGATGGAAGACAATTTCCTTCTTCCAGAAAACTAGAGAGTAACCCATTTAAAAGGAGTAGGTGACAAAAACCCCCACAAATAATATTAGGAACCATACATAACTCTGAGACTCCGCTCACCTGCCCCACACAGCCTCCCTGTCACATACTGCTTGGATATAAAAATCAAAAAGAGCCAGTAGTGACATTCCTGTTCTGTTTTAGCAGCCATGGCTTTTCTATCTTGAGCTTCAGCCACCCCATCAGTCACCCTCAGATGAAGACAACTGTTCAGTTCCTGTAGGACTCCAACTAAACTGGCCCAGGATAAGATTCTGGATACAGTAACCACAGTATTTTTAGTAGCAGATGGCTCATGCAAAGCTTCTTACTAGGAAGGAAAGTTGAGCACAGACCTCTTTCCCTGTACAGATAATCCCTAGCCTAGAGCTGAGACTGGAAGAAGAGAACAAGGGAAAAACAAACATTGGATACCGGGTGAAAATTTACTTGGAAACATGGTAAAAAAACTCCAAAGCACATGGAAGGGCATACCTGGCCTACAGATGGGAGAGAGTGCAAGTTTTGTCTCCTGGTCTCTTTCCATAACCAAGTGTTTCAGAGTTTCAGCAGCAATAGAAGCCCCCGGGACTTGGCCGCACTCACTTTCCCCTGCCTTGATTTCTCCACTGCCTTCATCTTTCACAGCCAAAGCTGGCTCAGCAAGTCCCAAGCCTGTTGCATCCATGTAGTCATCCACAGGATACAGGTCCAAAATAGTCTCCCTCTCATCATCAGGAAGCTCAAGACCAGCAGGTTCATGCTCTGGCTCAGCAACCATGGCTTCTCTGCTTTGATCTTCAGCCACCTCTTCCTCCTCTTCCTCCTCCTCATCTTCATCGTCATCATCGTCCTCCTCATCTTCATCATCCGAGTCTGAACTTGACTCAAATTCAGAGGAGTCCTCACTTTCATCAGATGATTCAACTTCAGCCTTGGAAGATGAGGGACTTGCTACATCTACAAGAACAAACTGCCATTAGTTCTGCTTTCTGGCTTTATTAAACAATCAGGGGCAAAGATCCCTTCTACTGTAAAAGTGTGGGAACAGCATCAACAGCAGCACACAGGTTTGAAGGAGTGACCTCCCAATTTATTTCTGCAAAGATTTATAAATCCTGTCTCTGGCTGCTTACAACAATCACTGTACAACAGATGAGGAGCAGTGCTGCTGGCACCTTCCCAAGTGGGTCTCTTGGTGCATTGTATCTTTTACTGAGATTTTCTGCTACCTTTACAACACGGCCTTAAAAAGTGGAAACAACCACCTTCTAGAGCAGAAACTGATAGACAGGACAGAGTTATTAGCAGCCAAATTACCCTTGGCTGAAATCTGGTCCCTCTTCCCCCCAGCCACTCCTGTTTCACAAAACAAGCACACATTTAGCTGGGCTTGAGACCTGTGCCCCTGTGCCAGGCTGGGCTGAGATCAGGTAGGGGCTGGAGAGCTGCAAAGGGACCCACTGACTGAGGGATCAGGGGAACCTCACAGGTAACAATTAAAAATATCTCTCTGCATTATATTGTGTAAAACTGCCTGTCAGTGAAAGGAGGAACACAAGTAACAAAATCAGCTTACAAAAGAAGAAGGGAGACCACAGCTGACCCGAGGGTGACACTCGCTGCTTCCAGTGGAGCTGCTTACCCTCCTCGGAGTCCTGCTCCTCCTCCTTGTCACTTGTATCTATGCCTGTCTCCTCCTCATCATCTTCATCCTCGTCTTCATCATCATCTTCATCCTCATCATCTTCATCCTCCTCATCCTCCTCTTCCTCCTTTGCAAGAAAGCATTGCCAAAAGTGAGCAGTGCCTGAGCCTGTGACCTGGCTGCCAGTGCAGTAACCACCAGAGACTCTCAAGGAGGCTGTCAGAAAACCTGAAGAGGGAGTGACCTGACAGGTTCTGTGGGCACAGACCCCACCAGGAGCACTCAATTCCCAGAAAAGGGAACTTTGGCATTTGGCATTACCAGGCCCCCCTTTAATGACAGACAGCATTGAAACTGCAGCCACACACCGACATACCTTGCCAGGTGCTGCTTTCACCAAGCCTCCCTCTTCTTCCTGCTCCTCTTCCTTCTCTGAGGAGGACTCTTCCTCTTTCCCTGATGTCTCATCTCCTTCTTCTCCCTCGCTGTCGAGCTCCAACGGCCTTGCTGGTCGCCGTCGCAGCCCCACTGCCTCTGCATCCTTCTTTGACAGCTCAGATGTTGTATCAGAAGCATCCCTGTCCCTCTCAGACTCTGAGGAGCAAAAGCAACAGAAATTACCATCAAATTCCTTGCAAAGGACAAAGTTAACTACATAAGGGAAACTTCTTCTTTGGAAAGACTGAAGTTAGGAGCAATGTGCCCATGTGGTGTGAGGGTCCCCAGGCTTACAGGGACTTGCTGATGTTACAGTGAACAGTGCTGATGGCAAAATGTGGGTGGCCAAAACTGACATTTCCTAGGCAGAGCAGACAGGAGACATGGCATGACTGAGGTCAGGTAACCTGAATTTAATGCTTTTTTTGTTTCATTTTTTGGCTTCAAAACCTCTTGTTAATCTGAATCTACTTCAACATGAACCCATGTGTAAAGCAAAGGGTATTCAAAGCTTTGTCTCCTCTTTACTCTTTCCAGGTTATAGGAAATAATGTTAAGATATTTTCAAACAGATTTTTCTGGCAAATAACTTTGGTTTCTTTCTCAAACCAAATGCAGAGCTAACTGTTGTGTGCTTCCTCCCACCACGTCCCAGCGAGCTGTGAGCACACCCCAAACAGCCCATGAACCCATCTGAGCTCCTTCTGCTGGGGCCCAGCACAGCTAAAACAGGTTATGAATTATTCTTAAAATGTGTGTCTTAAACTTCCCACCAGTGAATTTCAGATAATTGAACCCAGAGAGGCCATGTCACAGCTGATGAGAGCTCTGTGAGAAGCAGGGATTGGCTCAGATCCTTGACTTTATTTAACTGTAAGCAAGCACACTGCTGTGAAGTTTAAAGGGATTCAGCTTGAGTGGGGTTTGCATCTGCTCCTAGGTTTCAAACAAATGTACTTTGCAAACCTTCATCTTCATCATCCACAGAAGTAGAAGGCCGGATTCTCTTCTGATCTCCCGCTGAGGCAGCTTCAGGTGGCTCCTTTCTTTTCACCTGAACAAAAGACACAATTAGCATTTCTAAAAGTTTAGAAACAGCAGAAATCAACTTCTTAAGCAAATTGCCACTTCTTTTTGCTGTGGTCGCTTACAGCAGAAACCAAGGGCCGCTTCCCAGCTCTTGATCTCTTTATTTGCTTGCAAACAGAATTTCACTCCGAATGAAACTCTACCCCTTCAATTTGCATGAAAACACCCTGGGTACCAGCATGGTGCATGTCATCACCGGGTACTTTGAGGATGACAGATCTTGACAAATCCATGTGTTCTGAGATTGTAGCAGAACAGAAAGAGAGCCTAATCTTAAAGAACCTCAAAGCAAGTTTTATTCTAAATAAAGACTGGAGAATCTCTCATACCAAACCTTTACTTGCACCTTCTGTGCATTCAAAATTCCTAATTTCAGGGAAGCCCTCTACACTCCCCTACCTCACACTTCTTTTAAGGAACTTCTAATTTTTTATGCAAATGCTTTTCAAAACAGATACCCTGTGCTTCTGAGGAGACAGAGTTTAAGCAAACTTCAGGTGAGATTCAGCTGCCAAAGCAAAACAGTAACTGTTTAAAGCACCATGAGCATAGGTGTATTTTTATGATCATGCTGAAACGCTGTGTCCTAAACACAGCCAAATGTTCTCTTTCCCTTGCAGAGCAGGGAGATCCTCTACAGACAATGCACACAAGTGGAGGGTGAAAATCTAAGGGAACAGAGGGTCCTTGCTCTGCTCCTGGAGGGTCAGAAGCAACCCCTGGGGTGAACACAGAGTGGGGTGAACAGCCTGAGGGCTCTGGGGCACAAACCTAGTGAGGTCTGTCCTCCTAAGGCTCCTCTCTGGGGGATGTCAGCATAAGGAAGAGAGTTTTTTGTTTTCACCTTGAAGGATGGCAGCCGGATGGCCCCTCGTAACCCAATGCCCAAGCCGATTGCCTCATATCCCAGCCCTTCTCCTTTGTTCCAGTTCTCCAGAAGACAAGAGGCAATTCGATCCTTTGGCTTTGGTTTTTCCTCCAGTTCTCCTCCAGACTTCACTGGAGTGAGAGACGCCTGCAACAGAGAAGGCACATTTGAGAGGGAAAGTTTCCTGGGAAGGACACGAGCTCTGGAAACCATTTAAACAGTTGAGGTTTGGGAAATATCACTGCCCTGCCCAGGCATCAGTTTCTTTGAGGGCATCTGAAGGTGCCCCACACTGGAGAGGAAATAGAGCTGCACAGAGTAATACAAATAACTTGAGTGTGCTTTAGGTAAGTCAGCCCAGCACTCTGTTATCTACCTTCCTTTGCTAAGCCACATAACTGAAAGCAACTCCAGACCTTCCAGTTGGGAACACCTTCCTTCTGTTGAGCATAAGGCCAAATATAGTGCATCCAAAATCACACACATCCCTGTGTTTCCTTAGCAACCACAGCCCCAGTCCACAAAACCTGTCAGAAGGCTCCAGTCCTGGGAACAGGAACATAAAAATATTTAGACGAAACACCAAAGGGTCTACAAAATAGACACACAGCCTCAACAAATCCTTTTTCACCAGAGCTGAGATGCAAAGGAAGAGCAGGAATTCAGACCTCTACAGCTGTGGAGAGGTGGACAAGCCAGGAGAACATCACACATGGTGTGCCAGGGGCACAGGAGGTGACACCCACCTGCATCAGCCCATGGCACAACACCCCAAACAATTTCTCTTGCACACCCTAACAGAGCTCACATGCTGAAGTGGGCTGTAACCACCAAAGAGGCAGCACAAGCTCAGCTCTCCTGCTAATAAGGGACAAGACTAATGGGAATATCAAACAGAGAACCCAGCAACAGCACTCCATGGCCAGGAGTTATTCCTGGCACTCTGCTTAATGCATCTTAATCAGGCTTTCAAACCTAAACCCACCACTAGGATTTGGGAACAAGGAAAAGCTTTCCTCTAGCTCAGGCAGAAAAGGTCCATGGAATGTGCTGCCTTCCCTAGCAACATTCTCCTTTCACAGCTTTCACCTCACACATTTTCCACTCTGCCTGACCCAGGACACCAGTTTTACTCCTGAGTCTTCCCACCCTTTACCTAGGGCATGACGCCTCTTGGCTGCCAGAGTTGGAATCAATCAATCAATCAATCAGCTGCCTTTGATGGAATATAGCAGCCAGAATCAGTGTGATGGCAGAGATAGGGAACTGACCTCCAACTGCCACCAAGGAGCCCAGTAACCTCATCCTCTCACACACACACAGACACCAGCAATGGGAAGGTACAGTTTAAGCTGAATATTCATATTTTGTTTTTGCAAAAGCAGGCAACTTGTGCCTGAGAAGGAATCCTGTCTCACCCCAATTCTAGGGGTGCCCAGTCCTAGCAGAAAGGAAGCTCTGTGAGATTCTTCTACACACAACAGTAACCCATGCCCTGGGGCAGAAATGGTTCTGGCATCTCTCTTCCTGGACAGAAAGCACATGTGGTTTTCCATGCAGCAATTTCATATTTTCAGTTACACTGCTCACATCCAGCATAACCTGTGGCAAGGACTGTGGCAAGCTGCTGTGGTACAGTCAGCTTCACTTCCCAAAATTGCTTATAAATCCCAGGTGAGTGAAGAACACCCCAAATCCAGCCATAACTTGGGATGTAAAAGAGCCTGAAGATCTGCCTCAACTTGCTTCTGCTTCTTCATCACAGATGTCAGGTTTAAAACAATTTCTTGAGTATTTCAGTTGCTGTTTTTGCAACTATTTGCTGGATCTGTTTCCTTTACTGCCCTGGAAACTCAGGGGCCTCCTCCAACACTGTCAGCACACGCTTGCTGTCAGAAGAAAAGCTCTGAGCATTAGTCAGGAGGAGAGGGACAGGGTTTCTGCTGCACGTCACGCCAGCCAGCTCTAAGCCACAGCAAATTACACTGTCATAAAACAGCTGTTAAGCAGCAGCATTACCAACCCCTCCAGAAAGCCAAGGAGCTCTCCCAGGCACCAGAGTTAACATGCAACTGGTTTATAAAAACAGGTGGTGAGGATACTGCTCTGAAAACTGACATCTGAAACAGATCTACCTGCAGGTTGTGGTTTGTTTTGTTATTTTTACAGTAATTCACAGCAATGGTAATTTTGAGGCTTGCATTAACCTTTCTGTAGTGTTAGGTTTTTTGAGTAGTGACAAATTCACCACACATTAGATCACAGAGCTGTTTGCTCGCTGAGGTATACTTCAAATTGGGTGAGAAAAGGATCAGAGGATTCATGCAAAGCTGTTTTCTCAACTAATCCCTGGAAATCTTCGTGTATTTGGCCAATGTTCAGTTTTTGAGTTAATTGCTGCTTTGTACATGCACGGGGGAGGGGCCAGAACTGGAAATACCCACAAATCTCACTGCACAAAGTGGGGAACACAAAACAGAGCTCTGGTGGTTTCAAACATTCCTCTTGCATCTGACCTTAGTTTTCCGGAGCAAACCTCAGCTTTCTCTTGTACGTAACAATTTAGGATTTTGGGTTTTTTAAAGTCAGCTCCAGACCCCTGCTGACCCCACACATTGACCACAAGCACTAAGAACAATTCTCCCCAGGACCCAGCACGCAAAAACCTACTTTTGCAAGACGTTCCTTCTTGTCCCACCAGTCATCAAACGCCCGGAACGCCACCACTTCGACCATCTTGCGGTTCAGGTCCCTTTTCATGATGGCCTTTAGTTCCTTCACTATGACCAGGAGGACTCCATCCACAGTGGCTTTGTGGGGATCTTCCTTCTTCGGCTCATAACCCGGGGGCGGAACCGAGGGGTCAAACTTGGGCAGCGGTGGCCACTGCTGCCCGCGGGCGAGAGCGGCTCCCATCGAGAACGGGCGGTAGGGAGGAAGATTCACAAACTGCATCCGACCCGTCACGAAAGGCGGGTACTGGTACGTGTTCTGCGCCTGCATCATGCGGCTCAGCATCTGAGTTTGCATCTGGAAGGACATCGGCATGCCACCCCACTGGTTGCCCAAGACACTGATCATATCCACCTGCATGACCGGGAACATGCCGGGATGGAAGGGGGGCAGCGGGGGCAGGATGTGAGGTGGAGGGACCCCGGGCGGGGCGGGCAGCGGCGGCGGGGGCACGGTGACGGCCGGGTGCGTGGGCGGCGGCGGTGGAGGCAGCGGCGGGGGCATGGGGAAGCCGGGCTGCGGGGGCGGCGGAGGAGGAAGAGGAGGGAATCCCGGTGGTGGCAGGGGGGGGATGGACGGGGCCAGCACGGCCGTGTTGCTGACGGAGGAGTTCACCACAATGGTTTTGGCACATTCCGCGCTGGTGATGGGCGCAGGGTTGGTCTCGTCGTCGGAGATTTCCATGTCCTCCCCTGAGGAATGCTGACCCTGCCACAAAAGAGAGAGAAAAGGTGACGAGCACATTCTCTTTACATTAAATACCACAGCGCCGGGCTGCTTCAAACAAAAGCTAAGTTTAACACACATTTTAATTGGGAACGGAGAAAAGCGAGCGATACTCTGAAAAGACAGGGCCCACTGAGCAGCTGGTGCCTATTGAAGCTTTTCTCTTCCGTGTCAGACCTCGGGAATCAGAGAGGTAAAAGCTTTCTAAAAGAGCATCAGCACCAACTGAACAAAACCCTCAGCTTCAGTGGAGCAGGAGGAATTGTTCCTGTGCTTGGTGAAATACACACAATCCAAATCCTTCCCTGCAAGATACATTATCTCTTATTTGCATCTAATACTCCTAGGTACATTACACCTTGAGTTTTTATTCCTTAGTTTTTCCATGCACAAATAATTACCCTTTTTTTAATTATAATCCCTGGCTCGTTTGCTGTCAACTCTTAACCTCCAGTTGTGGAAAGACAATACCTCCACATGGTTGCTGCTACTAAAAGTTATCTTGACTAGATCACAGCAATTCACATGGGAAAACAGAACCCCAAATCTGGTTAAATTACTTTTAAACATCAAAGTCATAAATGCTGCGATTCAAAGACATGGCCTATGTTGTGTTTTGGGACAAAATACATACTTTACTAGCCACAAGAAATACAGACTTGTAGAAAATGCTAAAACTATGTCCTACCTCTGCTGCCAAAGGGATGGAAACTGGATTAAAACAGAGGGTGCCAGCTTGCTCTGAAATCTCAAAGCTGCCTGACAAGGTCTTGTACAAAAGAAAAGTCTCAGGAACAACCTCCACCCTCCACAGCACATGGTCACACCTGCACACTGTGTCCTACAGGCACTTCAGCCCTCGAGGTATCTCCAGCACCAAGAATCCACATGCATGACTGTCACATCCCTCAGGTATCGAAACCCTGATATGAAATATAGTAACCAAATACTGCTGGAAGACATATCCACATGGTGACAGGATCTAGAAAACATGAATGTGGCTGATCCCTGACTAGAGTGATGACAGCAGACAGGACAGAGTCTCTGTAACCTCCAAAGACGTCTCACATTGCTGATGTCAGTGAAGAGCCCCCCCATGTTCCCCAGCACAGCCCAGGGCACAGCAGGAATGCTCCTCCTCGCCAGAGCCCTCCAGATGCCCTGGGAGCCAGGAAGAGATCACCATCAAGTGCCTCTCTCTACCAGAATCCTGGCAAGAGTTTCAGAATCTGCTGGCTGTTATCAGCCAAATTTAACTGTAGATCCCAAAGATATTTATTATTTGCTCCACATTTTGTGCCAGCAGGTGCCTCTTCTGTCTGCTCTCCTGCCAGTCTCCCCAGTGTGAAAGGAAAGAGCAGTATCAGACACTGGAGAACCTGGAAGTTCTGGGAAGAGCTGCTGAGGAGCAGACTTTGTTGGCAGTTTTCACATTGAAGCCGCTATGATTTGGTTCTTAACCTGTGAATTTCTTACTGTGGTATGCAAACAAACGCAGGAGCAGCTGAGTTGACTCTGCTACAAACTGTCACTGTGTGAAACTGAGCAACCACAACTATCCAAATCACTCCAAATGTTTCCCGTTTTATCAAAGGTCATCTCTGCTACAGCAGCTACCACCAGAGAGCAGGCTGAGCACGATGCTTGCAACAGCAGCTGTGCAAATCCTCCAGTCCTGGCACCTCCCCTCGCCCTGGCTTCCCCACATTCCTCCGCTGCAGCACGAACTCACTGCCTCCTGCAGCGCCTGGGTCACCCCCAAAAAGCCACTTGCAGTTTTAGTGCCCAAAACGCCCAACAAGGAGACACCATTCACCTGGCAAACCCTGAGCAAGAGCTATTGACCCCTGGTAATGGTGATGGAGAGGGGACTCCCCCGTAGTCACAGAGTCACTTAAGTGCATCTGTGCGTGCAGGGAGAACTCCAAGGGCTGTTTTGTAAACCCTAGAATGAACAGCTAAAAAAAGAAGTAGAGGTGACAACCCATTGCACTCGAGTTTTTCCGAAGCCCAGTTGTATCATACCCCTGAGTTGCCCACATCTGGCTCACACTTCTCAGTGGGTCTCACACCCTGCATCCTCTCCCCAGCTGCTCTATTGCGGTCACGTCCCACGCCGAGGATGCCGGGGAATAAAAGGACATTCTGCAGTTTCAACTACTGCAGCTCCAGTGAAAGGAGCAGAGGAAGAGCAAAAAGGACGACTGTGGCAGGTGTAAACAAGATTCCTGTGAAACAGACCCTGGTTTTCAGTAAGTGAACACAAAAGGCCCTGTTAAAAGCACTGGCTCCAATTGCAAACGCTGGATGATGCTAAAGGTCGGCACTGGATAGAAAGCTAGGAGTGTTCAGGCTACCAAAGACAGACAAAATCAGCTTCAAGTTCACATTCATCTCATCTGATAGGATATGGAGAAAAGTCACCTCATGAGGCCTCAGGGGAGACCAGCACTGAGCAGTGTCAAGCCACAGATTATCCCCAGTCCCTCCTGCAGGACCTTGCATCCTCCCAGAGCCCTCCCAACCTCCCATCCTGGAGCACCAGCAGCCCCCAGCCTGTCCCAGCCAGTCCTCCCACACAAGATTTGTGTGCTCCTGCCCATCCACACACAGCCTCTCATCAGCCTCAGAGTCCTGCCTGATAAATGAGGCTGGTTTTCCCTCCTGAAGGAATCACATAGAAAAAGCCAGTCCTGAAATTGCAGAGTGGTGGCAGGACTAGCAGGATTCCATGCTTTAGGGCACAGAGCTTCCTTCATCCACACATGCATTAATTTTTACTTAAGATGAAATGAGAATTGCCAAAGCAATAGCCAGTGTTTGAAAGACTGAAGACTTTTCTGGTTTTTTCACTTCTGGTGCTCAGATGGGTCTACAGGAAGCAACAACAGATTCCCTGCTTCCTACAATGTTGGGCTGACAACTCACCTCCACTTGCACAGTGCACACAGTCTGTGCTCCAGTTTTATCCCAAGCGAGATGGATAGGGAGAGAGAAGGAGATTAAATGGCAGGGAGAAAAGGATCGGAAAAGGCACAGGAGGTAGGGGGAAAGAATCACAAGGCTAGGAAAGAGGTCAAACCAAAAGAAGATCATCTACAAGGAAGCCTTTAAAGAAAGTTAAGAGTAACAAATATTTAAAGCGGATGACTTTCCTGTAACTGCTCGTATCTAAGGGGGGAAAATGTAGGCACCAACTGAAAGAGATCAAGGTACATATAGAAAAACCAAGGGGAGACATAGAATGATCTTCTGTTATTTGAATTTCTTTTCATTCACCTGTCTGAACCTGGATTTACTATGGTTGCTACCAAATACCTCTCAGGGTAGAGCTGAAAAGCACCTGTGCTGTCCTCTCAAAGAAACTGCCTTCTAGCTGGCCTCCCTCTTTGCTCTCACAAGCAGAAAAAAGTGAGCTGATAGATGACACACATACTGCTCCAAGAATGTCACAGCCATCACTGTAAAAAAAAACCTGTGCCAATCAGTCCCAGAGTTCACCTGCCTGTTTCTGAGGTCACCTGGTACAATGCCACCAGAAAACCTTCCTTCAGCCCACTGAGAGAAAAGCCATTTCCAGCTAAATTAATTTGTGCTGCCATCTTTAGTTTGGATTAATTAAATTAAGAGTTAGCAAAACAGGTATTTAATTATACGCATGACACATTTTTCCAAAGGTTCTTTAATGATGCAAATTCGTTGGGAGAGATTCATGTCAGTGTAACTGGTTATAAATGGCCTCATTCACTGTTCACCCAAAATGTTAATTGCCACCTTTAACACCAGCAGAGTGTGCAGAGACTCTTAAGCTAAATGAGGGAACATCCTGGGATGCCACTCCTTCATCAGCTGGAACAGTGACAGGGTAGAGCACTGGCTACAGGGCATCGATCCCACCCCAGAGCCATACCCAGCATTTTACAAGCAAATGTTAATACCTCCAGAGAAAAGAAACTACATCCTAATATTTGCATGTAGACCTGTCAGCTTCCAGGTGAGGAGGCTGTTCCATCCCCTGCCCCAGAGGAGCACTGCCACTGTGGCAGTGATTGGGACTCCCACTGTACAGTTGTTCAGTACCTTTCTTATAGGCAGAGAAACTTCCATTTCTTCTAAAAGGTTATCTGATAAAAAAATTTACGCAGAATTTCAGAACACATTTTGAACACCATCAGCTTACAGCTCATTTCACTTAAACAAGCTGCTGGGCACCAAGTTACTTATATTTGAGGTAGGGAGCTGTACCACTGAACAAAGCAACTAGCATTACCTGGCTGAGCTCTGGTGCATCAAAATAATGAAATGCAGGATTGATGGCATTTAGCACTGTACAAGGGCATTAGCCTTCATGTTTTTCAATAAAGCTAGAACTTCTAAGAAGAAGGGACTCTTGGACAAAAAAGTTTTCCTAACCTGGTTAAACAGTCATCACTTGGTTTTAGATTAAATCCAAGCAAGGGTTGAAAAAAAATTCACAAGAGATTATCTCGCACTTTATCCTTACAAAAAAGCAGGGAAAGAAAAGCCTTCAGAGGTGAGGAGGACAACTGACTGAAGAAGGTCATACAACAAGTCATTAAGGGAGTCAAGAACAGACTCCAGGTCCCTCTGACCTCCTACGCCCCAACTTCAGTTGCCTTCCCATGCTGGGCTCACACCCGGCTCCTCACTGCCTGTGCTCTGTGTTTGACAAAAGGAAACAACCATGATCCCTGGGTGAGACCAGCTCAAGTTCTCTAACACACATTTCTCTTCCCAGACTCCTTCAGCAAAGCACATTAAAGAGAATTAGATATTTCAGACCTGCCACGTTTTTTATGCTGCCATCCAGAACAAAAATGAAGCCTGAGGTCACCACAACCTTCAAGTCTTCCTCCAAGACCACTGAAAAACTCCTTTCAAGTTTGGCCCAGAGAATCCCACCATTCACCCTGCTGACAGAGTACCAAATACCTCTTGCAGCCCAAAATTTGCAAACCCAG